GGTGGGTGGGTGGGGGTGTGTGTGTGTGTGGGTGTGTGTGTGTACACACATGCGCACACTTCTCCCCCTCAAAATATACAACATGTTCCATTCTCCTGCCAGACAAAACCACAACAGTGTTAAAAAAGAACACCAAATATATCTTTAAGCAAAGGATTAGTCTCTACACCAGTAGCTCTCAACCTTCTTAGCCTCAAGACACACCTCCAAAACATTCCTGAATGCTAAGGTATGTCATCTGAAAATCACTGAGAAAGAAGAGGGCCTTCAGACTAAAGAAGCTGTGTGCCCTGCTCTTTCCATTGCCAGCCCCCTCCCAACACCTAGTCTGTTCCTTAGGGGGCAAAGGCAGCCCCTGCTGCTAATGCTGCTCTGGTAGGTCCACATACCAGTGGCCACTCCCATAGCTCCTCCTGCCAGCCCAGGGAGCACGGAAGGAGCAAAGGGGACAAGCAAAGAAAAGTGCAGCTCCATTTGTGTGTCTAAGCCAGGGTGGGCAATTATTTCAGCAGGAGCTAATGAGTTTTGGTGAGCTGTTGAGGGCCACCATGGTAGCCCCACCCTTTGACAGGGGCCCTGCCCCTGGTTGCCATCTTGAGACCAGAAGTCCTGCCCCCTAACCTCTGACCTTTGTCACTAGAAGTCCCTCCCCTTGCCCCCAGAGTACTCTTTTTGGGAAGGGGGTTTCCATCTTGGAACCAGAAAAAAAACCCCCCACCAAATTGTATACTAAAAATCAAACACTGACAATAACATATTTGAATTTTATTTAAAAAATATATTTTTGTCCTGATTTGTGTGTTTGCATCGTGTATATAGAGGCGATTGCAGAATGGCTCAAAATGAAGCCTAACTGTTGTATATTGCAGGGGGTGTGGAGGAGTGTGGGGGGTACGGATGGGTGGGAATGGGGTTTGTGGGGAGCTGTGTGCGTGTGGATGTGTGTATATGTGGGGTTTGGGGGAGGGAGTGGGTGGTTGGGTATGGGAGATTTGTGGGAGGGATGTTTGTGGGGAAGGGGGGCTGGGAGCGTGTGGGAGGGTGTGGGGGGGTATGAGTGCATGTGTCGTGAGGTGTGTACACACAGCAGTAAGCAGGGCTCCACCTAGAGGCTCCATGTGTGTGCGGGGGAGGGGGCAGAGGGGAGAGGTGCGGGGGAGCGCAGTATTTGTGGGGTGCGTTATTGTGTGTGGGGGAGGGTGGGGTTTGCAAGAGAAGGTTTGTGGGTAAGGTGAGGTATGCAGGAAGCTCCCCACATGCACCCTCCTGAGCCAAACACCACCCACTCCTGCTCTGCAACAGCCTGAGGCCCACGTCCCATGTGGCACCTT